TATTTCATCATTTGAATTGTTGTTTTGCTATAGTAAATCTGGTGGGAGATCTTGGAGGAGTGTATGAGCATACTATTTTAATGCTAATGGTGTAAATGACACAGTCAGGGCCATTCCATTCTCAGGAAAAATCAAAAGGTCTGTAGGCTCAGGCTACAAAATATTTCATGTAGCCTGTTGCAGAATTATTTCTTTTCCTGTTGAGCACACAGGTGCCATTTTTATCTTGTACAGTATGTATAAGTCTGAGCTGCTTTTTAAGCTCCTGTTCCTAATCAGAACTTCACGTGATGTTCTTGCCATCATCTCTCACCAACGTCCTTAGAGAAAGTCCAGTCTAACTAGAGGGACCAACCTCTAAAACCTCATTAGACTTATTCTTTCTTCTCAGCAATTATTATAAGCCTGCTTTTTGTCAGCAGTTCTCTAAGACTTGCAGCACAATTTGTGAACCAACTCATCTATGCAGTCATCCTCTCATATGGGAAGAGCCGCATGATTTTCTTTTAAGTTGCTTCATATGCAGTCATGTTATAGGTGAGCCGAACAGACTGGTTCAGAAATTAAAGAGAGCTTTATGGTGAGGACTTGAGCACGAGTTTGATTTTCCCTTTAACAAAACATATGCTGTTATCCCCTCATCCTGAATCTGTAAGCCTTATTTTCACAGTAACTTCCAGAGCACCAAGTGGGCACCTCTGGAAGTCGCAGGCCTGTTTGTGATCCATTTGTTTGTGTTTAGGATTGATAACGCACCCGTGTCTCCTGCCTGGCAGCGTTATGTAATACTGCAGGCTATTCTGCATGACACCACTCAGCCAGAAATGAAGATGGTATTTAGATTTCTTCAGTGAAGCAACAGCTCGGTATCTGGAGCAGAACTCAGAACTCAACCTTTATCTTTATCTTGATAAAAGCAAGATTTTTTCTGCCCACATATTTCATAAGCCAATGCAGTATAAAAATAGGAGTGAACACAAATTGCAGTTCAATCAGATATCAGCCGCTTGGATCATTAAGATAAAGTTGAAATGCAATTGTCTGTTCAGGTTTGACAGCCAGAAGATCTTAAGACCTTAAATTCTGATATCCGTTTCCCTCATATCCATTTCCCCAGTACCAATTTCCCTAGGAAAACTATCCAGAAAATTGCATAAATCAGATTGATTTATCAGTTCAGAGCAGTCTAAGCAATAGCTCTTCTAAGAATGAATAATGATTTGTCATAATACCTTTGCATCACTGAAACTCTTCATCCCATTTATAGTTGTGAATATTTGTCTAGTAATTGGAATTCAGACAAGAAATACCAGTGTATGAAATGACAACAGATTCTTCTGATAAGATGCTGTTTTCTTCAAAATCATAGTGCACGTGAGGGGACCTATGTAACTTCTCTGTGTTATTTGGTGTTACAACTTTTTGCACACAGATGCTCCTTGCTAATTTGAAAGAGCCACAATACATTATTTTTCTTAAATAAGTGTTTCTTTGTTTTTGTGAATAACAAAGTTCTGCAAATCAGTGTAACGTGTTTTCGGCAAATTACGCAAATGAGCGATCAGTAATATGGAAATATTCAGAACAGCAGAATATAGGGCACAGTAATTTGGCATTGCCAAACCAGAAGTTCAAAAATTATGAGTCAGGGCTCCTAAAATTATAAAGCTAGTTTAAAATTATGAGCTTAAAAAACCACATGGCTTTATTCACCTTCTGGCTTTTTAATATTTAGCATATGTTCAGATTACACTTTTAGGATTTTCCACGTAATTTGCGAAGCGAGGGGTTTTTTAATAAATAAAATAGCTGATTACACCATCTCATAATTAAAAACAGGCTTCCTCAGATTGATTAGACTCATTAAAATCATGGAAGTTGTCAACACTAATTAAACTAATGCTTGATGTTTCAAGGAATCATTATTTTATAATTAAGTGGTTTTAAAGCACATTTATTTACATAGACTTCTGACAGTTTGCTGAGGCATGATTAAAAGCTGGTTAGTATCACTAGTGCTAACCAGATAAACAGGTGTGCTGTGCGTTTTAGGCAGTTAGGTCTTTACTTTCCTACAACTGGAGCCTCCTTTTCTTGCAGCCAGTGCCAGCTCTACTGGCAATAATAAATAAGGGACTTAGAGCAGATAGTTTGAGAGTAATCATAGAATCAGATAAGAAAAGGACCTCAATAGGTCATTTAGCCTCATTTTGTGTCTAACCAAAATCTCCTTTCTTGCAATTTAAGGCAATTATTTCTATTCATATCGATGGTGGATATGAGAAAACATGATATTCCATTTTTCTTTGCAACCAGCTTTTATATATATGAAAAACATCATGTTTCCCCTCTACCATCTCTTTTGTAAGATGATCTAAAATCATTCAATCTGCGCTGAAAGGCAAAGTTTTCTTAGCTTCTAGACACGCTCATTGCTTTCTCCTGGATTCTCTGCACGCAATTTGTATCTTATTTTTCAAATGCTGCATTCAAAACTGGAGACATTACTAGCTCGCACCTCAGCAGTTCTGAAGGAGCAGATTACAATCCACTTTAGACATTTCTGGTTTTGCTTTTCTTTGCAACAGCACAACGTTGTAGACTCGTTTTCAGAGTTTGATCCAAAATAACCCATCGATCCTTTTAAATGGAAATTAAACAGCTGTTCCTTTACTTCCACAGTTAATGATTCCAGCTTGCACTTGTTCCTATTAAATAACAGCTTATGTTTTCAGATCATAGCTGCACCTTGACAGGATTATTTTGAATTCTAATCCTATCTTCTAATATACTTGAAGGCAAACTCTGCTTGGTCTTGTTTGAAGATATTAAAAGGATGCTGTATATGGTCCAGGTGGTGAATAAATTTTAAAAAATAATTGTCTAGAACTGCTGTAGATGGGCTTAAACGACGTCCTGTAAATATTGACAGTAACTGTAAAGCTGGAAAATGAGGGTAAGTCTTAAACAAAGGAAATGGTGTGCTGTAAACAGGCAGACATCAATACTTAATACTCACAGATCAATATGCAGTGATTAATCTCTCAGATTAACTTAAATAGATGCTTAGTGTGAAGAGTTTTGCTGATAATAGAACTGTAGCACTGCTATGAATGTCGGTTATTTTCTCATTCCTATGATTATTTGATTTTTACTCATCTCATTTTTCCCCCTTGTCATTCTAACCAGGCAAGTGGGAAAAACGCAGGAGCAGATGAAGGAGGTGGTAACTGGAACTTCACACCATTGCCAGGACTGTTATTAACTCAGGTATAAGATGGAATTAAATAAGAATAAGAAGCAGATTTGTAAGAATATTTTATTAAAGATACTGTATCAAAGCACAGAATAAGCTTTAAAGATGATGAAAACTAAGCTGGAATGTCTTCACTGATGATACTCTACATAGACTACAAAGTTACTAAGTTACTGAACAGTCACAGCCTGTTCCAGATGTCCTACCCTCAGTATACCGTTGAAGGCCTATCTTCAGGTGATGCTGCAAACCTGTTTCCCTTCTCTGCATGGTGGTCCTACTGTGAAGGTCCTTCCTGTTCTCTATGGAAAGGACATCCCATTTCCTATGTTTTCCCAGTTACACTGTGCCTTCTCCCTGCGGAGTCCCCAGTGCTATCTGGCTTTGCCCAGATATTTAACATCTTCCCCTTTGCTGCAGCACAGCCACTGTGACAGAAGTGTCAGCATTCCAGTACTGCACTGAAGGCTTTTAAAGTGCCTCTGTTAATGTTTAAGGTGTTACGTGTTAATAGAACCGATACCTTCAACATCCATAAGCTGAAATGTTTGGGGCTCTGTAATTAGATTAAGCAACCACATTCAAAGATATCTGAACATCTTGCATTTGTATAGCAACTTTATAAACTCAAAAAGTATAAAGCAAGTACAGACACATGCCCTATACAAGCTGCAATACAGACAATATTTTACATACTTGATAACAACAGTAATGAAAATTATGCCAATTATAAAATTAGAGACAGACTCTTCTTGAGATAACAATGAAACATCCTTTTATAGTCATGAGTAGAATTAGTAAGATGCGTAACTACAGCAGAATATAGATCAGCATGTTTAGTCTGCTTACGTGTCTCAACCTGATCCACTGTTGTCTGGGGGAAGCAGAATAAATTAATATTTTTTTAATCCATGCTGGCCCTAATTTGAAACATTTACTGCCTTGTAGGTTTTTTGTTTGGTTGTGAATTTTTCCCATCAACTTATTTGGAAACATTAGAATTCCTAAAATGCTCAAATCTGAACATGAATGCCTGATTCTCCTCTTCAAGCCAGCTTTTGCAAGGCTTAGATCCAGAACAAGGTGCACCCTGTGCCCTGTGAGGATTATTTCACACTAACTTATCTCCTTGCTGGTCAAAATTTTTCACCATTCTTGTAATAAAACCAGAGCACCATTTCTTTACTTGCCACATACAAGCACTGTGCTCCACAGAAGGTCCTCTTCAGCTTGCAAATGATGATCGTGGCAGCAGGGGGAATCAGCTGGATCTTTGTCACCATCCTGTCCCTTCTCAGGGACCCTCTGTCCTCAGTTTTTAAGATATTTTTCATTTTGTACTTTTTTTTTCCTTTTTAACATTTGATAGTTTAGCATTGTAACTGTCTGAAAATACACAAGTTTTAGTTCACAAGTATACAATTCTAATGTTTGAACTAAAAAATCTAAACAGTTTTTGACAGAATCTCTAAGAAGCCTCATTGCAGGAAAGGAGCACTCCAGCACGTGAATAGCAAATGCTGCAAACTCATTTTAGTGCAGCCCTTGACACCTGGCATCTGCCTCTTTTGGCTGTCTGCTCCGTGACAGGCGACTTCCAATTTGTTTTTAACAGGTGTAAATAACAGTCACAAGGAAGTAAGTTTTATAATACGGAGAAGAGTCCAAAACAACTTTTACTGCACGTTCTAACTGGACTGCTTTGGTGCCTTTTGTGACTGCTGCAGTGTGTCAAAAAAGCAAAGGTGGTGCCAATTCAGATCTGGCACACGCGGTTCTGAGTATTTATGAAATCTTTTGCCGACCAGTTCTTCCTCATGTCTTCTTCAAACCTGGTTCTCTCAGTTGTTCAGAAGCTTAGAAGTCCCTATTTCACTACTGCCATGCAGAAAAGAAATGCAAGAAAAATATTAAAAGTCAGAAGCCCACAGGCCAGTACTGTATTTGCTAGCATGATGTGTTCCCTCCCACCTCACCATGGTGTGCTTTTGCTCTAAATACCCAACTGCAGTTATATTGAGAGCACCCACCACAGTCAGGAACTGTTTAAAAGCCATACAGTTCATTTCCTTCAACCCCTGCCCCACCAAAACACAACTTAACCTTAAACAATGCTTCAAACAATGTTTTCCAGAAACTTTTGTTTATTTCTCCTTTGCCTTCCATTTTCAAAACAGTTTAAGATTTGCTGAGGAAAAACTTCAGTTCCCAAGCCTCCGGAAATTAATTTTTATACTGTATGTGTTACTTTCCAGCAGTGGTTTATGGCTCGGTTTAGTGGATGCTCAAAAAATTGCCTGAGTATTATTTCCCCTGAGGAACACCCCCATCCTGGAATACTTGTAACTGCTTTGTATTTGCCTCTGTTTGATTGTTGTTTTTTCTTTTCCTTGCCTAAGGTAACTGTTATGTATTTACTTAACCCCTCATCCCCAAATTCTTATTTTAGGTTAAACGCAGGTAAGTTATATAAATATTTACAGTTCCCTTAAGTCTCTTTTGACCAAACTAATTTATGACAAATATAAGCAGCTTTGTATCTGATATGAATAGTCAAGAAATTGGAAATACATGGATGTAACTGCTAAAGACAGTCCTCAGGGTTTTTTTTCTTGGTACATTGACTTCTCTCTCTGTATATGTAAATCACATGGTACAAAGTAGACAATTGTCCCAGTTCTGGCTAATTTAAACTTCACGTTTCTATGCACACTATGGCAGCCCAGGACCAAGTGGTTTTGTCTACACTGCGGAGCAGGAAAGGCTTCAAGGCTGCACGTGAGGCCAGGTTTATCAGCTGTCTGCATTGCTTACCTGTGAGAGCATCCTCCAGGTCAGCTCAGGGCTGAATTTCCTGGCACAGCTTTGAGAGGAAAGCCTTGAGTGCGGTGCTCAATGCCTCAGTGCGCATCATAGGATGCCCTACATGACATGAGGCCAGGCCCTCACAGCAAATACCAGGCCCAGAATTGTTTGTGTATTGTATCTGCCCTCCGTGCCATGTCACATACTTGATGGTGGGCAAAAAAAAGCTGTCTGGGACAAATGGCTTTTATTTCATGCCATGAGGGTATGTGAACATGGGGAAGCAGGTCTTGGGCAAACTGCTAGCTTCAGAGTACTGCTGGTTCTGGCAGCAAGTCCATGTGTCTACCTAATACATTCTTCAAATCTTGGAGGGAAATTCATGGGACCGATGCTGTTACCTCAAAGTAGTTCTTATCTGACTAGCTCAAAGATCAGAAAATACCTTTTATTGCTTGTGAACTAACAAAGGAGGAAAAAAAGGTATTCTCACTACAGCATGCACGTGAAGCCTGTTCTTTTCCCAGGCAACATCAGTGATTAACTTTGCTGTTTATTAAGGTGCCGGCCTGCATTTTGCAGTCAAAGATCTCTGTTATCTGCGGATCATATGCAGCTCACGAGGCACGACAGAGCTTTACACCACCTCCCTCAAATACACCGACTATGCTGCGTGGGACCACCTCTGAGTGTGGGAATGTGGGTTGCCTGTGAATACTAAATTACATTTTTCCGATGAGACTGCAAAAATACTGTTAATGAGTGCCAACTGTGGTGGGGTGGTGTGCAAACAGAACTGTGAACACCAGAGAACTGCTGGCACTGGGAAAAGCTTTTAGCCCACAGTGAACCAGGTTAGAGGCGAAACGTTGTGCCCTTCTCTCAGGCTCTAAAATCTTCTAGCTACCCTAAAAACAGCAGTTGTTTTAGGGATGCACAGCTGCAAGAGGATCTGCTTCACTCTTCACACAGCAAACTCTGCTCAACTACAGAAACGTTGGAGCCCTTTTAGCAGAAATACGCATGTTTTGAGTTAGCCAGCAGATGGAGCTCAGACCTCCTCATCCCACAGATCCAGGAACATCTGCAAAGTTAAAGCACTTCAGAGATGTTACAAAGGATGCCGTTTCTTCCACTTCATAAAAGTCAGAGGAAGTCTGTGATTAGCTGGATGTTTACAAATAAAAGGAGGATCTGGAGATACATCAAAGATAACTCTCCAGATCTGGCACAATATCAGGTTCCTGTACTAATAGCGTCTGCACGGGTTTGACTGTTACATTAAGTGCTTGAACTTGGCGTATCTCATCACGTATTAATAATGCTTTTTAAAAGCTTAGCGTATTTATTAGAAGTCTGAAGATTAAGCCAGCTAAGGACCTGAGATAAACAAAAAAACAACACCCCCTAGCTAACAAGATCTTCCAGGCCTCATTTAAAAGGCCTTCTCATTTAAAAGGCTGTCTCGTTTAAAAGAGAAGCACCCACTGGGTTCTTCCTCACCCTTTCCCACGTTGCTTTCTGCAATGTAAAGGGACTCAAGAAGCAAAGATAAGTTTCAAAATCTGAAAGATGTAGTACTTCAAACTTAGTAAATAGGAGCAGCAGCACTCGAGGCCTGTTCTCCAATGATCTAAGTAGCTTGGATGGTCTGATCACACCATATATGCTTTTTACTGAGAAGCCTATAAGTTCATCTAGGATGTCAGTGACTTTAGCACAGTGCCAGCGACTGGGGAGAAAAGAGTTCTGAGATAAAAGACTGTGGTGTGTGAAATACACTGAGTTAATGTATGTGTGTTTTAAGGGACATCTTTGTTTTGACTCTCTGTAACAAACCAACATAGCTTGTGAGGTCTGGAAGGCCACAGACTATTTCTGCTTTCATAATAGTGCTCTGTTTGAAGCTGTTTGGGGTCTAAGCCACACTGAACTTGATCAAACAAACATTCTCCAAAGGAAACTGCCTTTGAACTATTTAACTCTTTGTTTGCACAGCAAACTAAAGCTGAAAACCGTAACAATTACTGAGTTCTTGTCTTGTAACTGACTCATTTTTCAGGTTTTAAGTTACTGTTCATCAGGACCTCTGTCTTTCCTGGCAGAACCGACCATGTGCCAGTAAAACCTAAGTGAAACACAACCCTGTCTGAAAGCACACTAGGTGGGGCTAATCCTTATACTTCCAGGCATGCAGACTGTGCCAGTGTCACGTTTTACAGCATACGTGAGTGCACACAAATATTTAATCTACCTGATAGCAACAAGGCTCAGAGACCTGTGCTCTCTTCTGGGCTGCAGGACATACTAAGACAATTTCTTCACCAGTTCCAAGAGATCCCACCCTGTATTTCCTCCTTCTAAAACTCCTACCCTAACTATCTTTTTTCTGAAGGAGGGATATTCTAGATTTCATCTCTTAAAATGTTTCCACTTTGTAGAAACAAATAAATTACCAATGGGTAGAAACCTGAAGCTCAGCAGCTTGGTAGCTGGGACTCTCTACCAGTAGGTACCAGTAGGAAGCCCCTAGGCAGGGAAGAAAGAGGTACCATCTTTAGCACACTGAATAAATGCTCTGACGATGGCTTCTGTAAAAGGGAGGAGCGTAATCGATACCAGAAGTCTGGTCTGTCTATTGCCAAAACCAAAAGTAATCTCTGGTATTCAGCAAACTCTCTTTTTAGCCAGCATATCTGCATTTCCACAAACTTTCATGGTCTTGGGCCTTTTGCCATGGAGAGAAGGGCATTATATTGTTCCTCCCATTCATTTTCTGGGGAGTCAGAAGCAGAAGTCCCTCTCGTGACCATCCCCAGTGAAGTGGGATGGTTACCTAAAAAAGGAGAGAACAGGTATTACTGAGTTGTGTAGGTTCGACTGAACACGTGAGAATCATTTAAAAAGGCAAGTTCTCAACCCTAGTCATTGCTTTAAAACAGGAAGAAAGCACATCTTCCCATTAAAAAAAAAATAGAGAAGGCAAACAGAAGAGCAAAAAGGATGAATTTTAAAAACAGCAATGTTGTCGTCAAGGAATATGGGGGACAAGAGATGGGCAAACAAAACAGTGGGTTTCTGCATCTTTCACTGCTGCTGCAGAGACCTTGGCAACTGCTGACACCGGGGGCACTTCACCTGACACAGAAACCAAGGGTTTGCAGACCCATTTCCAGTGGATTTCTCACAATCCACGCAGCTGCCAGGATTTGGAGGCCTTCAAGGAATGCTGTCTTCTCACACCCCGCCAGGAGTCTTGGGATGTCTGCAGAACCACAAGGCGTTCTTACCTAAGGTCATCTCTTATTTACAACCAAAAAAGAGTACACCCCAAAATCTCACTGATGCGAGTCACAGCTGAGTTGGAGTAAAAACAACAGCAGCACCAGAACCTCCTCAGAGAGGAAAGTTCTTGAACAGCTCGGAAAGGGCTCACTTTCTTTTCTCCCATAGGAAATGCTAGATGCAGCACTGTGTTTGTGGTTATAGCTGCAGGAAGATTTTACTGCAGTTTTAGTATGCCAGAAGGCACAGGAAAGGATTAAACCTTTTCTTTTTCTTGCAGGAGAATCAAAGATATTGACCACTTCTGAAATTCGAGGTTCCTGGGGTGAAATGTGCCACACTAAGCTACACAGAACAGTCAAAATCTAGCCTAGGACTGCCTGATTTCTCATAATTCTGTGATGTTCCCTCGAATATATTAATATGAAACTTTAAAAACGCATTTTCAACTACTTTTATACAGGGCATGTGCACAAACTACTGAAAACAGTTTCTCTAAAAGCACGATGCACGTTTTGCTATGACTTAAAAGAAAAACCCCAAACCCCTACAAGACACCTGAGGGCAAAAATGGCCCAAAGAAAGATCCCAAAGCATTTCTCTTGTAAAGCTGGCACTGGGCAGTCAGGGACACGAAAAGGAACACGGGGTGTTTGTTTCAGGGCTGAATGCTTGCAGTTGTGATGAGCTGACTCCTGAGTCACCGGCTCTGCTGCCCTGTGACAAATTAAGATTTGTCTTTGTGCATGAAGGAATCAAATCAAATCACAATTGATTCCAGAATTGTA